TGCCCAGTGGCTTTTAATCTGGAAATGATCCCTATTTAGCCATGCACTTACTTTTAGCAACACCGTTTCATTTCGTAATTATTTCCCACAATTATTCTTTGTCATACTTTCCATCGAGTTCATATGCTCGAGAATTCCAGCTTAAATAAGAGCAAACCACAGGGCTGAGACAGAGGCACATTGTTTGAAATGCTAGGTGCTTAGAAAATAGCGCCACTACCGATAGGTATATTGTACTTCACCCGAAAATAACTGAATTATCGTATTTTTTGCTTAAAAATAAGGTGTTAACATGCACGCAAAGTATTTTTATAAATAAAGGAGACCCTCAAAAGGAAGCTTCGGATGAATGTTTTAGTAATTATCACAATGACTTGACTAAGATTGGGTGCTTCAGTATTAATTAGAAAATGTCAAAATCTGGTTTTTAAGATTAAATTTATGAGTTTATTCTGGCCTTTGTCGCGGATTTAGGCACCAAAGCACTGTTTCCTGATGCGATTTACGTACAGAACTAGCATTCAGGTTTGATGATGCTGCAGGATTTTAAGCCGAAAACAGTCTACTAAATTGCTGCTACTTCCACTTTGGACCATCCAAACCAAGTGGTGAATGTTTGTAGCAATTGACGCTTCCCTCCAAAATCGTGTTAAATTGAGGTTGTCACTGGGCCCTCTGCATTCCATGGCCAAGGACCACCATTCACCTATTAAAGCGAAAAAGCGGACCTAAGCCGAAACCTTAAAGTGGCAGGACGACAAAGCCCTTGCCTTAATCAGTGCTGCACAATGAACTTTACCTAATTCCTCTTCCCGGTTAGAAATTCTCACCTTGCTCACTGGGTCGCATGAACGCATGCATCTTCAACTTTGGTCACTGCTTCCTGCCTGATACGTCAGGAGAAGCGTTGTGTGGCAATCTGCGTCTCGACGAGAACGAGGAATGCGACCCAGGCGGAGCGGGTCCCCATACGTGGGACCCCTGTTGCCGCCGCAATTGTCGTCTCCGTCCTGGTGCCCAGTGCTCGCCCATGAATCATGCCTGCTGTACTAGTGGTGAGATCAAATAATCCAAGTATTTCTATTTATACCAACCAGATTTGAGCTAACACAGCACCTTGATCCGGGAAGTTTTCTTTTGTTGGTTTAAGTTAGCTGTGACGACAATTTCGTTCAAAATTAAAGCACCTCGTATCAGTCATCAACAAAATGACTTTTCTCAGAAGCATTTATATGTAAATGACGCTAAAAGTAGTAAGTGCATTAAGGCAGTCATTTTATTTGGTTTGTCATTTTGTTGCTATTTACTTAGTCAACAGATCAGAAACAGACTTTTGTATGGTATTTTTGCTGGTCTTTAAGCCTGTTCCACTAAACACTGCACTTTGGTAGCATAGATGCTGGATCTGACAGCTTTAGATTATATCGTAAGAAAATAATTTAGCCAAAATCATTCAACGTATACATTTGTTAGGTTTCACAATGCACTCTAAAAGGCTATATTCAAGAAAACATAAAATACACCATGCCTTGTTCCAAATCTAAAAGAGTATGTGTCGACTATCCGAGGACAGTTAATTAGTGATGCCTTGAGTATTTTCCAGAATTATAGAAAACCTGGGAAATGGCAAAT